CAGTGTTTTGAGAGAGTCTTTTAATGCTGTTTAATGTACTTTTCTTCGTAACCGTTAAATGTGTAGGCAATTCATCACGGTCATGTTCCATGGTAACCCAGCGAAATCTTTATTTTTCACGGAAATCAATTGATCTGTCCTGATATGTTCTAATATATGCATCATCTTCTTCAACCTCCTTAATGATTCCAAATTTCAAAGTCTCTCTAGATTGTATTCTATAGCAACGTGTGAAATAAAAACATTAAACATGCTAGTGTTTGACGTATTGCTTCCCTTATCGTATGCAGGTCCTGAAAGCAAATATCAAATCTTGGATTTCACGGCGGTCGGACCGTTTCCTCGAACTATGTGGTCTTCTACAATGTCCCAGTCGTGATCTGCACCGACCAGCAACGATATTTCGAATGAATCTTGCTGTGTGATCGTGTGCGCTAACTTTTAACCACGCACATAACCATACTTTGTTTCAATATTACGCACGTGATTCTGTAGAGGCTTGGCGATCAACGGTTCTATCAGTACTTTGATTGACAATACGTGTCCTGCATCGATTTTCAGATAGATTATTGTCTTGTCTAGGTGTCTTGCGTTTTTCTCTTCACCCTCAAATGCCGACAACTGTATAATCTCTGTTCCCTTTATCTGTAAGTTGAGTTTATTCGCTAAGTCCTGCGTTAAAAACGATCCATTTGTGCTACAGCGGTTTTCAAAAGTACATTTGATCGCGATTTTGTCGATTGAGAATACAAAATGGTAGTATCGTGTTCCGTTGTATTACTGCCATTTACAAGGTGAACATTTGTCGAATTCGAAGATGGCGAGTTTGGCGGTTTGCTGCTCGGATTATCTTTCGCGCGGAAATTCCTATGTGTTGAGCTGTTACCCCTGTTTCTATTGCTGACCTCGGTCACTGGTTTTATATTATTTGTTGGACGAGCATTACACAGGCTGGTTTGGTGTTACTTATTACAATGTCTACATGTGTTTTTAGATTAACATTCGTTTAGTCTGTGGTTACCAAGGCAGTCAAGGCATAACTTCTCTCGTTTGACCATGTTCATACGCGATTCTGTGTCGGTTATTTTGTTACAACGGGTAGGTGCGTGTATTTCTTTACAGAAAATGCGAGGTCTAGTCTCAATATTCTTGTAAGATTTGGAATTCGGCGATTTTGCGGCAGCAAAGAAAGACGATGTTGTGGGCAAATTGTGTGTCGACTCTATCTCTTGACCTGCATCCATAATATTTATCTCGTCTAATATGCTTTTACGGAGGTCCCGTAATACCCAAGTTTTTGTTTTGAGTTCTCGCGCGAGACGTTTTCTCACTTCCCCGGGTAATGTGTTCATAATAATGGGAACACGTAACGTTCCAAAGCTTCTAGTCCCCTTTTATCATAAAACTTCGGAAGCTTGTAAGCTAATTTCTAGGCGAAGGGATATCTAATTAATAATGCCTGCATGTTTACATTTATAATTTTGTCTGGTTGACCGAACCTCTCAAATTTACGACTTCGTCGTAATTTACATTTGTGAGTGCGAAACCTGCTATTGATCATATTTCTTCGTGTTCTAGCTGTGCTTTCAAGTAGTTAAACATTTGTATATTTGGAAGTGACAGGTTTAGATGTACGGCCAACTCATATGAGTCCCAGAAGGTTTTCCATTCTAAAATGTTGCCTGAGAAAGTTGGAAGCGTAAGTTTTGGTAGGCGGTGACTCTGAATACTAGCTGAAGAAAATGTACTTGGTGCGTGTTGAATGTGTGACTGGCTTGGACAGACGGGTTTTCAAAGGACTGTGCGTTGTGTGTGTTGGCTATGTTGTGCGTTGGGACAACAGCATAGTTTCTTGATTTAATGTGTGAGTTGTAGTATGTAATGATTCAATCTGACGGGACTGCGGGGTTTGGACATTTTGTATGAACTTACGTACATGTCGAATCTTCGTTTCCATATTCATCGAATATTCATATGAATCAATAATCTCATTTTCCACATCTTCCGGTTCTGTTATCTTAAGAATTTGATCATTTCAGTCCTCAAACAATGTTTGTTTTTGCACAAGTCTTCCGAGCGTTATAATGACTTCTTCTTCATCGAAATTCGTATTCTCCTTTGCTTCATCTAATCTGCGGAATAGTTTGGTAACAGCGCTTTTGTTCCTAGATCTGACTGATTTCAATTTTTCAAGATCCATTGGTCAAGGCACCATAAATATAGATGATAGTTAAGGTAATGTGTATAACGACAACTGTTCAGCCATTACATTTAATATACTAGTAACGTATTTCCGCCCAAGGTGACGTCACTGACAATACGACGTCGACAATGGACAAGTAAAATAGTACGGACGTTATGTTCCCGCGACAATCTCAACACCTCCCAGACATACCATAGGGGTATATTATGGCTCATTACAACGCTAAGGGTCTGTAGATTAATGGGTTGCGTTGTGTATTGTTAATCATGATCGTAAGCTTGACTAAGGCGTTATAGATATAAATACGTCTGCCATTACAACTTTCTATTCAATAAACATAATCGTACATCACAATAACGCGACGTCACAAAGATAGCGGCCGCACCGCAAAAGGGTACGTTTAACGTTAGCGCAATTCTTAACATTCTGGGGCCGCAGAAAATCATATTTAACTCAAATGTGAAATACAATGTGAAAAATACTTAAGTTCAAATTTAATGTTTCTGATCAATTGCGTCACAAAACAAAATAAATCATAGTTACAGTCTCTTAATAGTTCTTTAAAAACTTCATTGTTCACGTTTGAATAATTTAACACTTTAACTAGTAAATATGATAACCATACTTAATTTGAACAGTCTATATTTAAACTAATTTCTCCCGGGCGGAAAAGTTCATTCACTGTCACCATTTGTACTGCGTATTTCCAGCGGATAGAGCTTCACAATTGGGCGGTTGGTAATTCCTGTGCCGGTCTTGATATTAGCTGATCGAATGAGTCCATCTTTTTCACGAACTAAATCTTGTACAACTGCTAATTTCCACATTATACGATTTGTATCATTGTGTACTTGTACAATGTCTCCTATTTGTATTGTTTGTTCATTTCTTCCAGACGTACGGTGGAATTCACGAAGTGACGCCAGATATTCGTGTTTCTATCTTGATCGAAAGTGGTTGATTAGTTCGTTTTGTCTCTGTAGATTTTTATTCTGTATAACGTGCAAATCTTCAGATGTAACACTGTCAATATTCTGTTCCGATCGGGTGTCAAGTCGGTGACCATATAACAGGTGCGCTGGCGTCAGCGGTTCGGGATATTTAATGTCAGTAGAAATGTAAGTTATCGGACGCTGGTTTAGAGTTCCCTCGATTTCGATTACAATTATATTTAACATTTCCGTAGTGACACATGTCTTTCATAGTATTGCTTTAATTGACTTTTTCATGAGTTCAATAAGGCCTTCCCAGAAGCCTCCAAACCACGGTGCTCTGTTGGGTATGAATTTCCATTCAGTTCCTTGATCGGAAAGTTTTTCTTGTATACGGTTGTCTTGGTTTGATCTTGTTATCTTTTCGGCGGCAGCCTTGAAGGTTGTTGAATTATCGGACAACATAATCCTTGGTATAGATCTTCTGGCAACAAATCTTTTACATGCAAGTATGAAAGACTACTCGGTTAAATCTGTGACTATCTCCAAGTGTATAGCTCGTGTAACGGCGCATGTGAATAAACAAATATACGTTTTGTTTAATTCGTTGTGTTTTCCTTTTGTGTACAAAGCTCCTGTAAAATCAACGCCGGTTACTGAAAAAGGATAATCGTAGTTGACTCGGTCTTTAGGTAGCGGTGGCGGATCGGGTGCGCTGTAAGGCATTCCTGATATTTTAATGCATTAAACGCATTTACGAATTTGTTATTTAACGCACTGCCTTACTCGGGGTATCTAATATTTCTGTTGAATATAAGCGATTGTACTGTTAAGTCCAGCATGTACAGTCTTGGTGTGCGCATCCAGTACGATTAAGGACGTAAAACTATGATGTGATGGCAATAACAACGGATATTTTGTACTCTCCTCCACAGGTGCATTTTGTATTCTCTCCCGGTACATCGTAGTAATCCATTTTTGTCTGTGTATAATTTAAGTTGTCGAACAAGTGGCACTTTTTTTCTGTGAAGATGAATTCAAGCTATCAATTTCATCCTTAAACGTTTCGTGTTGTACTGCTCCTATTATAACTTTTAATGCTTTATGTCGCTCCTCAACACTGATAAATCCGATTTGCCGTTTATCTTTTGAATTCCGTAGGTTCTGTATAGAACACAAGACGTATGCTGTTACTCTAATTGCTTTTTCGAAAGATCTGTATCGTTGTTTGTCTATATCTGGAATTGTTGGTGTTGAAGCATTTATACTTCCATCGTCTGTATAGTCATCGCTAACAGTTACTATCGTGTTGCAGTCTTCTATTTTCCTCATCCATGTCGGCCAATTTTCACGGTTTAAAATCCATTGTGGACCGTTCATCCATAATTTGATGTGATTAAGATGTTTAGCGTAAATTCCGAGAGTTAAGTAATCCGCTGGAGTGTCATCTGTTGGGCAGTAATTCCATTCAGCATTCTCTGTTAATGTTCTTATTTCTTTAAGTCGATTTGCTACGAACTGTTTCAAGTCTATTAAAGATTTAATCCAACTCAAAACAATTTGATTATCGCTCCACATATACACATGTTCTGTTGTTGTGATTTTAAGGAGATGTTTGGCTAATCTGGCTCCGATAAGCGCGCCCATAAGTTCTAAACGTGATAGTGAAATCTGTTTTACGGGTGCTTCTCTGTTTTTAGCCATGGCGATGACCGATGAACTTGCTGTAACTAAGTAAGCACAAGCTCCGTATGCTAACTGACTGGCGTCTGTGAAAATATGTAGCGACGTTTTCTCGTTAATAACTCCTTCCGTTAACATTCGTGGAAATACTATTTTGGTAGCCTCCTCGATATCCAAAGCGATTACCTGCCATTTACTTCACAATTCGTCAGACAAACATTCATCCCAATCCAACTTTGCCTTCCATAGAGTCTGCATAAACAGCTTAGCTTTCACCGTATTAATCCTAGGGGGTCGAAAATTCTAGACGATGTGCGCAAAACCTCACGCTTTGTTACCATTTTGTCCTTTTCCATAAAATCAATCTGTTGAAATCTTAGATTGTCGGATTCCCTATCCCATCTCATGCCTAGAATTTTGACAATGGCGCCGATCTTGTCTCGTCCAGCGACGTTCTGTAATTCTGTACTATTAGAATTCCAAGACCGTAGGTTGAATCCTGCCTTTGACAATAGTTTTCTTGACTGCGTGTACAATTTCTAAAGTGATTGTTCATCTGTAAAACTAGTCAAGACGTTATGCACATATAAATTTCTCTGTAATTCTGTTGAGGTAGTTGACGGATTGTCTATAAAATGTTTCATTAGCGTGGCGCCTAATATGAATTGCGAACAGGTGGCGCCGAAAAGTACAACCGTAAACCGGTAAGTAATCAAACGGCTTTCTATGTCTATGGGATTCTCTAACGAATAAAATGTTGTGACGTCTCTGTCATTAACATCTAATTCAACATGCAAAAATGCTTTTTCAATATCCGCTGTAACTGCATATTTATACATTCTAAAGCGTATTAATATCTCCGTAAAATTAGTCATAATTGGTGGATATGTTGCTAGGCAAATGTTAAGACAAGGACTACTGTCGTTCCCTCTACAACAACAGTTATATACTATGCGTATCGGGGTGGTGACTGAATCCTTTTTTACGGGATGAAGTGGAATGTAATGTACCTTGTTTGTGCATGTACTTTCATCAGATACCTTTTCAATGAATCCTCTTTGTTCTTGGTCTGTAATTATCTCACCATACTTTCGGAACATCTCGGGATCCTTCTTGAGGCGACGAATAACGCTTTCTGTTCTGCGTTTTGCAATGTCTTCATTTGTCGGTAGCTCTGGCGCATTCTCTCTCCATGGTAATTTTGTAATATGCCTATCATTTTCCTTCGTAATTGAAGTTTGTATGTAATTTTCATATGATTCGGCCGATTCTGGATCATTTTCTTCTTTATCGTCAATTCCCAACGATTCAAGCTTCCAAAATTTTTCAAGATCACACTCTTTTTGTTTGTGACATACTAGTATTTTCATCATTGAGAAAGATGCATTACTGGTTCGTGTAGGGACAGGACCGGAAAGTAAATATCCAATTTTCGAGCTATCTGCGGTTGGACCGTTTCCACGCACTATTTTGTCTTGAACTATGTCCCAGTAAAAATCACCTCCAATTGATAAGAATACTACTATCTCAAATTGCTCCCCTTCCATGATTGGGTGTGCTAACTGTAGACCATTTTAATATGGAAAATTCTGCGTCATTCTTATGTTGTGACTTTGAAGTGGTGAAGCAATGGTTGGTACAATTAAAGCTTTAATAGGAATTAATTCTCCTTCTTTAGACTTTAGAATAATTGTTGTTTTGTCAAGATTTCTCACCTTTTTTGTATTGCTTCCAAATTTAGCTATACTCAAAGTTTCGGATCCCTCTTTTTTAATGTCCTATTTAATTGCTAGTCCTTTGGTTATAAATGAGCGTTGAGCTCCCTCGTCAAAGAGTATGTTTGCATCTGTATATGTATTCTGGTGAACGACTGGACTGAATGCGGTTTTCAATAAAACAGTGGACCTTTCTTCGATAGCGTTATAAAACATAGAAGTTTCTGTGTCTACTTTATTTTGCGGTTGTTCAGCTTTAATAAGATGTTTATTTGAGTATGAGTTCTTTTTGCATAGTGACGAGTGATGCTTTCGCTGGCAAAACTTACATGTATTCTTAGATTTGCAATCGGCTACTTTGTGCTTACCTAAACAATTAAAGCATAACCTCTTTTCTTTTATAATGGCTACTCTTTCATCGTGATTTATGATCTCTTTACATTCGTTTGGCCAGTGGTTTCCGTCACAATATGTGCATTGTTTCTTCCAAGTCGAGTTTAATGACTTGTCAATTGTGTTTATCGGGCGGGTTTTATCTGTATTTACTCGTTTAACGCCTGTCATTAAATTTGCGCTAGGGGTAGCTGTTGAATTTTTGTGTGTATAATCCCCGTATCCGGACTCTTGAATAGAAATCTCTTCACCTATTGCGTTTCTAAGCGATTGAATATTCCAACTGTCGCTCCCGTTTTCGCGTGTAATATTTTTCCGTACTTCATGCGGTAACTTCCCGAGAATCACTGGTATCAATAGCGATCTGTACATTTCCTGACATTGTCCGAGGGACTCTAGACCCCGTATGTATGCTTCTGATTTATCGTGAAATGTTCTCAAACTTTCTAAATTATCCCTAGGTGCGGGTATATCAAGTAGTGCTCTCATATATGCATTAATGATTTTGTGTGGTTGGCCATAGCGATTTCTCAATAAATCAATTGCTTTGTGATAGTTTGGATTTGTCATGGTCAATCCTGAAATTGTAGCAAAGAGTTCAAGTACAAAAATTTCTGAATGTCAGTTAAAGTCTGATTGTGATGTATCGTGGTTTCGTATGAATCCCGGAAATATTGCCATTGTAAAATATCTCTGCTAAAATTGGGAAGCGATAACTTTGGTAGGCGATGGTTGTTACTTGAGGTCAAACTTGATTGTGATAACTCCTGACTTGCATGTGTAAATGGGTTTGAATACGGTACAAACTCTGGGGCGTTGGAATCTAGTATTGAAGATGTGGTTTGTGCAACGGGTTTTAAGAACTTTTTGATTTTTCGAAATTTATCCTCTAATTCTAGATAATACTTATCTGTTTCAAGTCTTTCATTAGTAATATCCTCGGATTCGACTGCATTTAGTATCTGTTCGTCTATTGTGGCTAACGTCTTCTTTTTCTTCTCAACTGCGTCAAGCAATGTTGATACTTCCTCCCGTGTCTATTTTCAAATCTCCGATGGCTTCCTCCAGTTTTTTAAAAACTTTTGTCACCGCTGCTCTGTTTCCCTCTCTCAAAGATTTTAATCGACTGATGTCCATTCTCTCCGTTTGTCGAGGCACCAATGTTGATTAATGGTTTGCGTTGTGTATTGTTAATAGTGATCGTAAGCTTGACTAAGGCGTTATAGATATAAATACGTCTGCCATTACAACTTTCTATTTAATAAACATAATCGTACATCACAATAACGCAATATCACAAAGATAGCGGCCGCACCGCAAAAGGGTATGTTTAACATTAGCGCAATTATTAACAGGGTCCCTGCTGTCTGTCTGCATCATTATCTCTCGTTAATTGTACCAACGCAAGGTAAAAAATAATTGTATTCAACCCCTACTCCTGTAGCGGGTAGCCAACCGCTTATATTGAACATACCGACACCGGATCTTCTTACCCTACAGACCAAGCTGAGCCTGCTATAGGTCCATACGAGGTGCCAATATCATCCCAAAGTACTTGGCTAAGTATTTAAAGCCTTTCCTGACGTACATCGGCCCGTCCTAAGGCAGAAAAACACGATGAACCAACCCCAAAGTCCAGTAAATAACCCTATAGGCAATAACCCATAAGGGTAAAAATTTCCCCAGCACCAACAAGGCACGCCATAATGGTATATTATAGCTCAAATAGACGCTTAGGGACCCTGATACCTGCCTACATCTTTACTTTTTCCCCCTTGTGAATGGTTCATTTGCTAGTTCGCGGGTTATGTCAGGCATATGGTCTTATTCCTTTTGCGAGTCAGAGTGTTTTGTCCATTTTAAAGGCACATTATCGTTTTGTCCTTATCTAAATGCAACAGGCCGTTTTGCTTTAGGTCTGAACGAGGTACCATTAAAAGCATGTCCATGAGAAAACCATGCAAAATAGTCCGGAAGCAACATTTACCAATCTTTATGAAATCTTGTTTCTAGGTTAACCTTACCACAACTATTGTTAAAACATCGTGAAGGCCTCGGCTAATGTAACAGGCCTTTTGGTAAGTAAGTAGTCCCTACAGGGGACAGAAAATACGATACACGAACCTAAATGGCCAGAAATTCTTTATTTGAATAAAATATCTTGCCAATGAATTGTTATTCTCTCTCAAACTTTAAAAATTTAAGCCTAGAAAAAGACTGATTGTGTACTACTATTTTACAATCATAGATGGCGATTTAAAATTAATCTATCTTAAGTGGTGTCGATTTTGTTGTAAGTTAATAATTATGTTTTTCAATATATGTTCTATATTTATAATACATGATCGATATTTTGATACGATATATAATATCCTTGTTATATATGATAATAATATTATATGCAACATTTTTTTAATATATATATGAGAGTCTGTTGAAAGAAAACTTTTTAAAACAAACTTGTCTTTCAATTGTATGGCTTTGGGCGATACTGAGAAAGGTTATCCAGAAAAACTCTACGGACAAATTAAATTCATAAAAGAGAGACAAAAGATACCAAATGAATCATCAATGTTGAAAAAAAAACTCACAATGCCATGGCAAAAAACAAAAAACGACCAAATAACAAATCAACAGTACACAAACAGAAAACCGAGGAAAGAGCAACACGAGCTTTGTATAAAAGTGACACCTAACATCCACGCATTCCAACATCAATAAGAAATCGTTTGCAAAGAAATATTCTCAAGCAAACCAATAATAGCTTATAAAAAGCATAAACATATAGCCGATCTATTGACATCGACAAAATAAAATTAATTGATAGGTAAATCCCTGATGATGGCGGGCCTACAATGCTTAAACCCATTCGTAATTGTAAGAGATTTATCATTAGCATATAATACAAAAACCGCCGAAACACTAAATTAGTGTCGGATTCATGTAAGCAATTGCGAGTCTAGTAATACTAGCATCATTAGATCATTCTGTAATATAATTACAATAAAATACTAATAGTATGTATACGGAGTCTTCCGAATAAATTTTTTTGCTATCGGAATTCGGATTGATGTTGGA